TGTGAGTGAGTGTGGTGGGGAGCGGTGGTGCAGTGGTTAGCGCACTGTGTGTGTGAGTGTGGGGAGCGGTGGTGCAGTGGTTAGCGCACTGTGTGTGAGTGTGGGGGAGCGGTGGTGCAGTGGTTAGCGCACTGTGTGTGAGTGGGGAGTGGTGGTGCAGTGGTTAGCGCACTGTGTGAGTGTGTGTGTGGGCAGCGGTGGTGCAGTGGTTAGCGCACTGTGTGAGTGTGTGGGGAGCGGTGGTGCAGTGGTTAGCGCACTGTGTGAGTGTGGGGAGCGGTGGTGCAGTGGTTAGCGCACTGTGTGTGTGGGGAGCGGTGGTGCAGTGGTTAGCGCACTGTGTGAGTGTGGGGAGCGGTGGTGCAGTGGTTAGCGCACTGTGTGTGAGTTTGGGGAGCGGTGGTGCAGTGGTTAGCGCACTGTGTGCGTGAGTTTGGGGAGTGGTGGTGCAGTGGTTAGCGCACTTTGTGTGAGTGTGTGGGGAGCGGTGGTGCAGTGGTTAGCGCACTGTGTGAGTGTGGGGAGCGGTGGTGCATTGGTTAGCGCACTGTGTGTGTGGGGAGCGGTGGTGCAGTGGTTAGCGCACTGTGAGTGTGGGGAGCGGTGGTGCAGTGGTTAGCGCACTGTGTGTGTGGGGAGCGGTGGTGCAGTGGTTAGCGCACTGTGTGAGTGTGGGGAGCGGTGGTGCAGTGGTTAGCGCACTGTGTGTGAGTGTGGGGAGCGGTGGTGCAGTGGTTAGCGCACTGTGTGAGTGTCTGTGTGGGGAGCGGTGGTGCAGTGGTTAGCGCACTGTGTGTGTGAGTGTGGGGAGCGGTGGTGCAGTGGTAAGCGCACTGTGTGAGTGAGTGTGGGGAGCGGTGGTGCAGTGGTTAGCGCACTTTGTGTGAGTGGGGAGTGGTGGTGCAGTGGTTAGCGCACTGTGTGAGTGTGTGTGGGCAGCGGTGGTGCAGTGGTTAGCGCACTGTGTGTGAGTTTGGGGAGCGGTGGTGCAGTGGTTAGCGCACTGTGTGTGTGAGTTTGGGGAGTGGTGGTGCAGTGGTTAGCGCACTTTGTGTGAGTGTGTGGGGAGCAGTGGTGCAGTGGTTAGCGCACTGTGTGAGTGTGGGGAGCGGTGGTGCAGTGGTTAGCGCACTGTGTGTGTGGGGAGCGGTGGTGCAGTGGTTAGCGCACTGTGAGTGTGGGGAGCGGTGGTGCAGTTGTTAGCGCACTGTGTGTGTGGGGAGCGGTGGTGCAGTGGTTAGCGCACTGTGTGAGTGTGGGGAGCGGTGGTGCAGTGGTTAGCGCACTGTGTGTGAGTGTGGGGAGCGGTGGTGCAGTGGTTAGCGCACTGTGTGTGAGTGTGGGGAGCGGTGGTGCAGTGGTTAGCGCACTGTGTGTGTGTGTGGGGAGCGGTGGTGCAGTGGTTAGCGCACTGTGTTTGTGTGGGGAGCGGTGGTGCAGTGGTTAGCGCACTGTGTGTGAGTGTGGGGAGCGGTGGTGCAGTGGTTAGCGCACTGTGAGTGTGTGGGGAGCGGTGGTGCAGTGGTTAGCGCACTGTGTGTGTGAGTGTGTGGGGAGCGGTGGTGCAGTGGTTAGCGCACTGAGTGTGTGGGGAGCGGTGGTGCAGTGGTTAGCGCACTGTGTGTGAGTGTGGGGAGCGGTGGTGCAGTGGTTAGCGCACTGTGTGTGAGTGTGGGGAGCGGTGGTGCAGTGGTTAGCGCACTGTGTGTGAGTGTGGGGAGCGGTGGTGCAGTGGTTAGCGCACACTGAGTGCCGTTTGCCCATCTCCCCAGCCCCGGCTTCCCCACTGAATGTGCGCGTGGAGTCTCGAGACCTGCTGACACAACTCCGCTGGGAACCAGCTGACGTGAACCCCGCCACCAGCAGCGTCACCTACAGAGTGGAGAGCAAACTGTGAGATGGTCGCTCACTCACTCACCCAGCCACTCACTCACCCACTCACTCACTCACCCACTCACCCACCCACTCACTCACCCATCAACTCACCCACCCACTCACTCACTAACGCACTCATTCACCCACTTACTCACCCACCCACTCTCTCACTCGCCCACTCACCCGCTTCCTCTCTGTGTGAGTGTCTCTGTGTGTGTCTCTTTGTGAGTGTCTCTGTGTGTGAATGTCTCTGTGTATTGTCTCTGTGGGAGAGTCTCTGTGCGTGTCTGTGTGTGTCTCTGTGTGTCCGTGTGTGTCTCTATGTGTGAGTGTCTCTTTGTGTGTCTCTGTGTGTGTCTCTGTGTGAGTGTCTCTATGTGTGAGTGTCTCTGTGTGTGTGTGTGTCTCTGTGTGTGTGTGTCTCTGTGTGAGTGTCTCTGTGTGAGTGTCTCTGTGTGTGTGTGTGTGTCTCTGTGTGTCTGTGAGTGTCTCTTTGTGTGTGTCTCTGTGTGTGTGTGTCACTGTGTCTCTGTGTGTGTGTGTCTCTGTGTGTGTCTCTGTGTGTGTGTCTCTGTGTGTGTGTCTCTGTGTGTGTGTCTCTGTGTGTGTGCCTCCGTGTGTGTCTGTGTGTGTGTCTCTGTGTGTGTCTCTGTGTGTGTCTCTGTGTGTATGTCTCTGTGTGTGTGTCTCTGTGTGTGTGTGTGTCTCTGTGTGTCTCTGTGTGTGTGTCTCTGTGTGTGTGTGTCTCTGAGTGTCTCTGTGTGAGTGTCTCTGTGAGTGTCTCTGTGTGTGAATGTCTCTGTGTATTGTCTCTGTGGGAGAGTCTCTGTGTGTGCGTGTCTGTGTGTGTCTCTGTGTGTCTGTGTGTGTCTCTATGTGTGAGTGTCTCTTTGTGTGTCTCTCTGTGTGTGTGTGTCTCTGTGTGAGTGTCTCTATGTGTGAGTGTCTCTTTGTGTGTGTCTCTGTGTGTGTGTGTCTCTGTGTGAGTGTCTCTGTGTGAGTGTCTCTGTGTGTGTGTGTGTCTCTGTGTGTCTGTGAGTGTCTCTGTGTGTGAGTGTCTCTTTGCGTGTGTTTCTGTGTGTGTGTCTCTGTGTGTCTCTGTGTGTGTGTGTCTCTGTGTGTGTGTGTGTCTCTGTGTGTGTGTGTGTCTCTGTGTGTCTCTGTGTGTGTGTCTCTGTGTGTGTGTGTCTCTGAGTGTCTCTGTGTGAGTGTCTCTGTGAGTGTCTCTGTGTGTGAATGTCTCTGTGTATTGTCTCTGTGGGAGAGTCTCTGTGTGTGCGTGTCTGTGTGTGTCTCTGTGTGTCTGTGTGTGTCTCTATGTGTGAGTGTCTCTTTGTGTGTCTCTGTGTGTGTGTGTGTCTCTGTGTGAGTGTCTCTATGTGTGAGTGTCTCTTTGTGTGTGTCTCTGTGTGTGTGTGTGTCTCTGTGTGAGTGTCTCTGTGTGAGTGTCTCTGTGTGTGTGTGTGTGTCTCTGTGTGTCTGTGAGTGTCTCTGTGTGTGAGTGTCTCTTTGCGTGTGTTTCTGTGTGTGTGTGTCTCTGTGTGTCTGTGTGTGTGTGTCTCTGTGTGTGTGTGTCTCTGTGTGTCTCTGTGTGTGTGTGTCTCTGTGTGAGTGTCTCTGTGAGTGTGTGTCTCTGAGTGTCTCTGTGTGAGTGTCTCTCTGTCTGTCTCTGTGTGAGTGTCTCTGTGTGAGTGTCTCTCTGTGTGTCTCTGTGTGTCTCTGAGTGTCTCTGTGTGAGTGTCTCTGTGTGTCTCTGAGTGTCTCTCTGTGTGTCTCTGTGTGTCTCTGTGTGTCTCTCAGCTGTGCTCAGCGCTCCTACGGTCACCGTGACGCTCCACAAGAGACTGACGGTGCAGGAGGAGGCTGGTGGTGACGAGGAGGAGGAGGAGTGCCGTGTTGAGGATGAGGACACCGAAGACGATGATGACGATGATGACTACGATGACGACTACGATGACAACTACGATGATGACGATGATGATGACGATGACGATGATCACGATGACGTCGC